AGCTACAGATTTCTGTGTGTTGATTTTGTATCCTGCAACTTTGCTGTATTCCGATATCAGTTCTAGTAGTTTTGGAGTGGAGTCTTTAGGGTTTTTTATGTACAGTATCATATCATCTGCAAATAGTGACAGTTTAACTTCTTCTTTACCAATCTGGATTCCTTGTATTTCTTTGTTTTGTCTGATTGCCGTGGCTAGGACCTCCAGTACTATGTTAAATAACAGTGGGGAGAGTGGGCATCCCTGTCTGGTTCCCGATCTCAGTGGAAATGCTTTCAGCTTCTCGCTGTTCAGTATAATGCTGGCTGTGGGTTTATCATATATGGCCTTTATTATGTTGAGGTACTTGCCCTCTATTCCCATTTTGCTGAGAGTTTTTATCATGAATGGATGTTGAATTTTGTCAAATGCTTTTTCAGCATCTATGGAGATGATCATGTGGTTTTTGTCTTTCTTTTTGTTGATGTGGTGGATGATGTTGATGGATTTTCGAATGTTGTACCATCCTTGCATCCCTGGGATGAACCCCACTTGGTCATGGTGTATGATCCTTTTGATATACTGTTGAATTCTGTTTGCTAATATTTTATTGAGTATTTTTGCATCTACATTCATCAGGGATATTGGTCTGTAATTTTCTTTTTTGGTGGGGTCTTTGCCTGGTTTTGGTATTAGGGTGATGTTGGCTTCATAGAATGAGTTTGGGAGTATTCCCTCTTCTTCTATTTTGTGGAACACTTTAAGGAGAATGGGTATTATGTCTTCTCTGTGTGTCTGATAAAATTCCGAGGTAAATCCGTCCGGCCCCGGGGTTTTGTTCTTGGGTAGTTTTTTGATTACTGTTTCAATTTCTTTGCTTGTAATTGGTTTGTTTAACTTTTGTGTTTCTTCCTTGGTCAGTCTTGGGAGGTTGTATTTTTCTAGGAAGTTGTCCATTTCTTCTAGGTTTTCCAGCTTGTTGGCATATAGGTTTTCATAGTAGTCTTTAATAATTCTTTGTATTTCTGTGGAGTCTGTCGTGATTTTTCCATTCTCATTTCTGATTATGTTGATTTGTGTTGACTCTCTTTTTCTCTTAATAAGTTGGGCTAGAGGCTTATCTATTTTGTTTATTTTCTCAAAGAACCAGCTCTTGGTTTCGTTGATTTTTGCTATTGTTTTATTCTTCTCAATTTTGTTTATTTCTTCTCTGATCTTTATTATGTCCCTCCTTCTGCTGACTTTAGGCCTCATTTGTTCTTCTTTTTCCAGTTTTAATAATTGTGATGTTAGACTATTCATTTGGGATTGTTCTTCCTTCTTCAAGTGTGCCTGGATTGCTATATACTTTCCTCTTAAGACTGCTTTCGCTGCATCCCACAGAAGTTGGGGCTTAGTGTTGTTGTTGTCATTTGTTTCTATATATTCCTTGATCTCTATTTTGATTTGTTCATTGATCCATTGATTATTTAGTAGCATGTTGTTAAGCCTCCATGTGTTTGTGAGCCTTTTTGTTTTCTTTGTAGAATTTATTTCTACTTTCATACCTTTGTGGTCTGAAAAATTGGTTGGTAGAATTTCAATATTGTGGAATTTACTGAGGCTCTTTTTGTGAGCTAGTATGTGGTCTATTCTGGAGAATGTTCCATGTGCACTTGAGAAGAATGTATATCCTGTTGCTTTTGGATGTAAAGTTCTATAGATGTCTATTAGGTCCATCTGTTCTAGTGTGTTGTTCAGTGCCTGTGTGTCTTTACTTATTTTCTGCCCGGTGGATCTATCCTTTGGGGTGAGTGGTGTGTTGAAGTCTCCTACAATGAATGCATTGCAGTCTATTTCCCTCTTTAGTTCTGTTAGTATTTGCTTCACATATGCTGGTGCTCCTGTATTGGGTGCATATATATTTAGAATGGTTATATCCTCTTGTTGGACTGAGCCCTTTATCATTATGTAGTGGCCTTCTTTATCTCTTGTTACTTTCTTTGTTTTGAAGTCTATTTTGTCTGATATTAGTACTGCAACCCCTGCTTTCTTCTCACTGTTGTTTGCCTGAAATATGTTTTTCCATCCCTTGACTTTTAGTCTATGCTTATCTTTGGGTTTAAGGTGAGTTTCTTGTAAGCAGCATATAGATGGGTCTTGCTTTTTTATCCATTCTATTACTCTATGTCTTTTGATTGGTGCATTAAGTCCATTTACATTTAGGGTGACTATTGAAAGATATGTACTTATTGCCATTGCAGGCTTTAGATTCGTGGTTACCAAAGGTTCAAGGTTAGCTTCTTTAGTATCTTACTGCCTAACTTAGCTCGCTTATTGAGCTGTTATATACACTGTCTGGAGAGTCTTTTCTTCTCTCCCTTCTTATTCCTCCTCCTCCATTCTTCATATGTTGTGTGTTTTGTTCTGTGCTCTTTTTAGGGGTGCTCCCATCTAGAGCAGTCCCTGTAGGATGCCCTGTAGAGGTGGTTTGTGGGAAGCAAATTCCCTCAGCTTTTGCTTGTCTGGGAATTGTTTGATCCCACCATCATATTTAAATGATAGTCGTGCTGGATACAGTATCCTTGGTTCAAGGCCCTTCTGTTTCATTGCATTAAGTATATCATGCCATTCTCTTCTGGCCTGTAGGGTTTCTGTTGAGAAGTCTGATGTTAGCCTGATTGGTTTTCCTTTATAGGTGACCTTTTTCTCTCTAGCTGCCTTTAAAACTCTTTCCTTGTCCTTGATCCTTGCCATTTTAATTATTATGTGTCTTGGTGTTGTCCTCCTTGGATCCTTTCTGTTGGGGGTTCTGTATAATTCCATGGTCTGTTCGATTATTTCCTCCCCCAGTTTGGGGAAGTTTTCAGCAATTATTTCTTCAAAGACACTTTCTATCCCTTTTCCTCTTTCTTCCTCTTCTGGTATCCCTATAATACGAATGTTTTTCCTTTTGTATTGGTCACATATTTCTCTTAGTGTTGTTTCATTCCTGGAGATCCTTTTATCTCTCTCTATGTCAGCTTCTATACGTTCCTGTTCTCTGGCTTCTATTCCTTCAATGGCCTCTTGCATCTTATCCATTCTGCTTATAAATCCTTCCAGGGATTGTTTCACTTCTGTGATCTCTTTCCTGACATCTGTGATCTCCTTCCGGACTTCATCCCACTGCTCTTGCATTTTTCTCTGCATCTCATCCCACTGCTCTTGCATTTTTCTCTGCATCTCATCCCATTGCTCTTGCATTTTTTTCTGCATCTCTGTCAGCATGTTCATGATTTTTATTTTGAATTCTTTTTCAGGAGGACTAGTTAGGTCTGTCTCCTTCTCAGGTGTTGTCTCTGTGATCTTTGTCTGCCTGTAGTTTTGCCTTTTCATGGTGATAGAGATAGTTTGCAGAGCTGGTACAAGTGACCGCTGGAAGAGCTTCCCTTCTTGTTGGTTTGTAGCCTTTTCCTGGGAGAATAGCGACCTCTAGTGGCTTGTGCTGGGCAGCTGTGCGCAGACAGGGCTTCTGCTTCCTGCCCAGTTGCTTTGGGGTTTATCTCCGCTGTTGCTGTGGGCTTGGCCTGGCTGGGGCTGTTCCTCCAAAATGGTGGAGCCCCGTTGGAGGGGGAGCAGCCAGGAGACTATTTATCTCCGTAAGGGGCCTCTGTGCTCCCTGCTGCCCAGGGGGTTAGAGTGCCCAGAGATCCCCAGATTCCCTGCTTCTGGTCTAAGTGACCTGTCCTGCCCCTTTAAGATTTCCAAAAAGCACTCTCCAAACCAAAACAACAACAGCAACAATGAGAGAGGGAACAGAAAGGAAAAAAAAAAGAAAAAACACGCGGTTTTTTTTTTTTTTCCTCAGGTGCCGGTCCCAGGCACCCGCGCACTGGTCCTGCTGCCCTGTCTCCCTAGCACCAGGGTCCCTGTCCTTTCAAGGCTTCCAAAAAGCACCCACCCACCGGTCCCGCAGGGAAGGAACGCTCAATATTCTTTGTCCTCAGGCACTGGTCCCACGCACCCGCTCACCAGTCCCGCCGCCCTGCCTCCCTAGCACCGGGGTCCCTGTCCCTTCAAGGCTTCCAAAAAGCACTCGGCAAAAAGAGAGAAAAAAAAGGGGAAAAACGCGCGATTTCTTCCGTCCTCAGGTGCTGGTCTCAGGCACCCACCCACCGGTCCCACAGGGAAAAATGCGGGATATTCTTTGTCCTCAGGTGCCGGTCCCAGGCACCCGCTCACCAGTCCCGCCGCCCTGCCTCCCTAGCACCGGGGTCCCTGTCCCTTTTAGGCTTCCAAAAAGCACTCGCAAAAAAGAGAAAAAAAAAAGGGGAAAAACGCGCGATTTCCTCCGTCCTCAGGTGCCGGTCTCAGGCACCCGCCCACCGGTCCCACAGGGAAAAATGCGCGATATTCTTTGTCCTCAGGCGCCGGTCCCAGGCACCCGCTCACCAGTCCCGCCGCCCTGCCTCCCTAGCACCGGGGTCCCTGTCCCTTTTAGGCTTCCAAAAAGCACTCGCAAAAAAGAGAAAAAAAAAAGGGGAAAAACGCGCGATTTCCTCTGTCCTCAAGTGCCGGTCTCAGGCACCCGCCCACCGGTCCTGCAGGGAAAAACGCGCGATATTCTTTGTCCTCAGGCGCCGGTCCCAGGCACCCTCTCACCAGTCCCGCCGCCCTGCCTCCCTAGCACCGGGGTCCCTGTCCCTTTAAGGCTTCCAAAAAGCACTCGCCAAAAAGAGAAAAAAAAGGGGAAAAACGCGCGATTTCCTCCGTCCTCAGGCACCGGTCTCAGGCACCCGCCCACCGGTCCCGCAGGGAAAAACGCGCGATATTCTTTGTCCTCAGGTGCCGGTCCCAGGCACCCACTCACCGGTCCTGCCGCCCTGCCTCCCTAGCACCGGGGTCCCTGTCCCTTTAAGGCTTCCAAAAAGCACTCGCCAAAAAAAAAACCGCTCCGGTTTCTTTCCACCTGCCGGGCGCCTGTGCGAGGTGCGCTCGGGTCCCGCCGGGCCGGGGCTTGTATCTTACCCCCTTCGCAAGGCGCTGGGTTCTTGCAGGTGTGGATGTGGTCTGGATGTTGTCCTGTGTCCTTTGGTCTCTATTTTAGGAAGAGTTTTCTTTGTTATATTTTCATAGATCTATGTGTTTTTGGGAGGAGATTTCCACTGCTCTACTCACGCTGCCATCCTGGCTCCGCACCCCCCCCAAATGATGTAACTTCTAAGCTCACAATATTCTTTCATTCTATAATCCTAATAACTGATATGTTTAGGTTTACATGCTATTGCAAGGGATGTGCTGATCCAAAGGATAGTATTATTATACGTTATTTCCTCTGAAGTTACAATTCATTAAAAACATACTAAATGAGACAAGTAATAAAACAGGAGAAAGAGAATGAGAATAATTATAGTAAAGAACTAAATTCCAAGAAAAATTGCTGTAAAACCAGCTTCCAGGAAGTCAAGGGATAAAGTGAACATGGTGAATTACCTAGATGTTGTTCCATGTCATGTTTTGAAACATGGTTAGTTGTCATTATTACATGGATCCTTCCTCACTTGGAGATTCTGATGAATGGATTCTACATGGGTTCTGGAAAGCTGTGTATTAAAAAAAAAATTTCTCGGATGATTTTGATAATTAGTCAAATTTGACAAGCATTAGTTTAATAAAACAAACATACCAGTTAACAAAAGAGAAAACTTTTTTCTAGCTCTGAAATCTGATTTTGTTCCACGGTCACTGAAAAACATTTGATAATAAAATAGATGAGGTTCTCAATAGCATTAAAAAAATGTAAGAGACTTTATGTGCATCTCACACTGATCTTTGATACATAAAAACAATGTACTAAATTATAATTCTGTTGATGTGAGAAAAAAATAATCTGGATTGATAGAAAAAGTTTTATTTCATGGTCCTCTTCAGAAATTCTGATTCAGTGAATCTGGGCAGGATCCAGAAATTTGCATTTGTAATAGTCCCCCAGTTGATAGTGATGCAAGCATTCCAAGACCACATTTTTGCCCTGAGAGAATGGATGGTTAACAATCTTTAGAGTTTCAGGTTTAGATACAAAATCTTGAGATACACCATTTATGATAGGTATTTTTACCATTTTTGAAAACTGAAGCAGGGGAAGGAAGCTGGATTTTCTACTTCCACACAGTACACTGACAAGCTTTCTGTGGTATAAAACCAGAGCGTTCTTCTAGGGGAACTTTTACTTCAACCTTTGGGAAAATATTAGTAGATTGCTTTGTATGCCACTAGAGAGCTATTATTCTCACCCTAAAAGGAAAAAATTGATGCTCAATGGATTAATATCTTTTAGAACCATGGGGAAAATATGGGAAAACTAATTGACTAGTTTTTCAGTAGAGATACACTTCACTCATAACACGAAGTACCAGAAATAGCATGGTATTAACATAATCATGAGCAAAGTCAGGTCATATATATGTATCCTGAATTGGTGCAGCCTATTTTATATTTGAAAACCTCTGGTTTGTAGCTACACATATTTTTCCAGACTGGTCTTCATTTTAAAGTACATCAGGAAAATATATTTTCTTCTGAGGAGTGCTTGCTTCTTCATGGTCATTAGTCACCCCAAACTTCTTTCCCATTCTTTTTTAATATTTTTCTCATGTGAATGAATAAAATGCTTCTACTTCTACTTCCTGATGTGTCAATTTTAGAATTTATTGACTTTCTATTATCATAGGTGATGACTTAGCACTGTCAACCACCCATTTCCTTTCCTGTATATCCTATAAACAATTTTTAGTCAGTGTTTACATTATTGCCTATAAATTGCATTATTATCTGTAAAATTGCGGGGTCAGATAGTGTTTCATAATTACTTCCTCCCTTGCATAGCTTTTGATTTTTGGAATCAATAATTGCCTCATTATTTTTTTCACCAATATTATAGTTTTCTATTAACCTATGATTGTTTCAACTGCTCAAATGCATCTCTTGTGTGACCACCAGCAATTTTTCTCCTCATGCAAGAGGGGAAAAAAGCCTCATACAAGGTAATCAATTTTATACCTCCTCCCTCCCCCCTCAGTCTCTCTCTCAAGTCCCAATTTCCTTGTGCTCCAATCAGGAGCAGGCTTGGGACACACTTTTGTCTTAGAACTTCCTTTTTACATTTTTCTATGTTGGACTTACTGTTTTGATTGTGTGCCTTCCGTTTTCTTGTTTTTCTGGAGTTCATTGTCCAGCAGTTCCCTAAAGAGATATGTATGGCAGATACATTTTTGAGTCCTTAGATTCACACGGTTGATCTTTTGGTTGGTTATAAACTTTTAGGACACAAGTAATTTCTTCCTCAGATTTTTTAAGGCATTATGTCCTTATACCCATTGAAAAAGGCAGTGCCATTTTGATTCATGCTCCCTTTCAAGTAACTCCAAATCCACAATGCTCCCACCATACCCACAACCTAGTATCTTTTAAAAGCTGCTATCACTGATGTTCTGAAATTTTATAATGGTATGATCTAATGTGGATTGCTTTATATATATATTTCACATTGTTTGGCACTATGTAGACACATTCAACTGAGACTTGTGTCCTTCAGTCTGGGAAATTTTTTCTATTTCTTCTTTTATAATTTCTATTTTCAGTTTTTTCTCTGGAAATTTTTGCTTTGATATTATACCTCTTGGTTTCCTCCTAAAGTCTTCTATCTCTTATATTTTACATCTTTTTGTTGTTGTTTTCCAAAAACTTTCTATTTATTGTGATTATATATTTTTACTTTCTCAGGCTTTTTCATAGAGCTATTTTTCTTATTATCCTGTTCTTGTTTTATAAATTATAGTACCCTTATTTCTCTAAGCATACTAATAATTATATATTTTTCTCTATATTTTTCCTTACTCCTGCTTGTTTTGCTCTTTCATTGCTGATGATCTTTGGATTTGTTTATATTAATAGATACTGTTTGGAAACTATGTGCGGATTGGGCATATGGGTGTATCTGTCAAGTTGCAGGCTTTACTGGAGTTGTGGCCATTCAGCTGCAGAACCCACGTATAACTGTATGTGAAGGTTTCTTTCTCCAGATCATTCACTTTTCTCTCAAGATGAAATTTTTAAACTTCTACCTAACATTCATCTATGTGGAAGCCACTGTTCTGGGGACAGGTACAAAAAGGGGAATGGAAGTCTGTTGTTCCTACTTTCACTTTTTTTTTTCTGCCTTTTACCTCCAAGAATAGACTTTGGTCTGTTTTTGGGGGGTGGTGGTTGCCTGGCTGTGTAGCACTGAGCTATGTTGCACATTCAAGCTTTCAGCAATCCTAGTTTTAGAACATAGCGGTCCCCAATCTTCTGCAGTACCTAGTGCTTCCAATACCAATGTTCTGAAAAGGTTATGTGAATTAGCTCTCTCCCCTTCCTGCAGCAATTTTAGGCTATAGTTTTATCGCTACTCCAGTTCCATCTGCTGTCTTAAAAAATTTGGTTAAAATCTCTGCAGTCTTGCCTTGTACTCTGTTTTCTCAGGCTTATACCTGTTACTGTTATTTTTTAAACTATACCTCTGTATACGTTATATTATTTTTTGCTGGATCTTGGAAAGGAGTACCAAAAAACGTGTGGTCAATCTCGTATTAATAATAAAACTAAAAAATACATTTTCAAAGAATAATGCTTAAAATGTTTTCAGTAACTGCCTATAATGTTAATGACTTTTAATGGTGATTTGTTGGGAATTCAGACTTCTAGCATTTGTGAGCAATCTTTCAGAATAAAATTGGTAGTAAGCAGTCACTTTGTTGAGAATTTAATGTTATGTAATACAATAATGGATAAAATAAGGATAAAAAGCACATAAAATAAGAGTCTTCATTTAATACTGTTGAGCTCTCACTACCTCTCTTGGTTGCTCTAATACAACTCTCCCGTGATTATTCTGTGCTTGATCAAGCTTTCTCAACCTTCCTTGGTAACTTCTTTTTCTGTATAACCACCCCAAGATTGTCTACACACACTTACCCGTTGCCTTAATTATGACTTCAACACTGATGACTTCCTAACCTATATGACTAATCCAGATTTCATACTTTGTGTGGACCAGGGTGCCAGATCAGCTTTCCATTTCCCCAGTGGTCATGTTCCTCCCCTCTATTTTGGGGGACTAGCTTAGCAGATTGTGAGATAGTCTCTGTCTTTTTAATTAAAATGTTTTTCTATTTATATTTTGAATAAGCAATACATTCAAATAATTCAAAATTCGAAGGACATAGAAATGTATACTGTGACATTTCCAGTCCTATCCTCTGTCCTTAGCTACCCATAAGTTCTCTTCCTAGGAGGTAATCAATGTTACTGTTTTTTCTTATATTTTTGGTGTCTTTCCAGAGCTATTTTCTGGATACATAAGTAAACATACTTATATATGCCCCCTTTTCTATTCTCCACTTTAATTCCAAATGTTTCAAAAGGCCCAGCACCAATGTGCCTGGAACTCAGACTTTCACAATCAACTTTTCAAATATTGAACATTTTTTTCCTATTAAAACACAGTATCCTTTCACACGCACCCCCTTAAATAGTAGGAAAAAACTGATATTGATGAATTTTCCTACTCCAGCAGTGCTTGGAAGTTAGTAACAAGTTTTGTGCTCATCCATTGCCCAAGAGACTTGCCAAGGGAATGGGCACTGATGTATAGTACTGGAAGAATTAAGAAAAACCTGAACTTTTATCTTCTCCTAGGATTCTTGATACCTGCTACTAGCCAACGTTACTTTTTCTTGAAGTGACAATCTAGAGATATGAAAATTAACCCAAGTAACTTAAAAAGACTCAGCAACTCTTAAAGAAATACACAGAAAAGATTCACTTTGCATAAAGTTGGCCTAGTTGTTCTGTATGCTACTGCAGAGAACTCTTATTTTACACACACTGGGAAGAAAGGGGAAGCTATTCAGTAAGCACTCAATATTGGCCCAGAATCTTCCTGTGACACTCTTCTTTATCTGAGGACACACCCACTTTGGCCACAAGGGTAGGCACATGACCAAAGCTGGGCCAAACACAGTGCCTCATAGTGTTTTGACCTTAGGGATTTGCCCAAGGGGTGATGAGACAATAAAAATCACTGAGTCCTTCCCCTAGGATCTTTCAAACTGAATCTGAAAGAACTAACTTTCCCTGCTGGTTATGTAGTGGCATAAGGATTTTATGATTTTAGCTCTTATATATATGTTGTTGATTTTTGCATATGGTGTACGTAATTTATTTTTAGAGATTATATCTTGACATAGGCAGGGTGACACATGGATCATTATAGGAATACTCAATTACAAACAAATTTATTTCTATTTAATGGGTCATCAGTGGCTGCTCTACACTGGGGAGAGTAACAGAGGAAACAGAGAAGAAAGTTAACAATTCTGGGTTTTTAGTTCATAAGACTAGATTCAGATGTAAAAGGAAAAGAAAGTTGAAAGTTTCAATTAGGTAAAACTTACATTTCCTGCCATCCATATCCCACCATTTTCCCATACTTGATAAAAATGCTTCAAGCTGAATAGAGAAAGGAAACTAGAGGGAAGATTTTAGATCAGGGAGGGTCCCCAGAGAAAGGAATCTATGGTCACCTCCCAGGCTGATTTCTAGCAAGGGAGTGAGATAAAATTTTACATTTTGGGGATCTGAAAGCAGAGGGAGGAATATTATGTTTTCTATCTGGCTACTCCTGGAGGTTACAAGACCCACTGAAAGTTTCATGCATCCTCATGATGAAATATAGCAGAATAGATGGCTATGTATGGTTCTATATATACAGACATACAGGGCCAGAGAGGAACCGCAGAAATATTTGCTGAGCATCCCTCCCACAGGGCATGGAGAGCTACCAAACATCTTACATGAAACATTGCAAATCACCCTAATAATATAGAGTTTCTATTACAATGTCTTTAAAATCAAGTTCAAAACGTATTCAATTATGTCTAATAAAATTTTGTACATCCAACAAAGAGCTATTACATTTTCCAGGAACACTCACCTTGCCTCACCTTGCAGCCAGAAGTTGCTCACCGAACTTCACTACACACTAATTTGGAGGATTAGCCAATTTAAAATATTCACAGAAGCTGGCAACTAAATACAGTTGAATGTATTTATAGGGAGTTGTCATATTTTTAAAGAACACCAATATTTTCAATGCTTTTACAAAGCCATTAAATGACCATTCAAGACAATGTTACATGCAAATAAATTATTTAATATGCTTTTGTATATCCAGTGCAATGCAACACATGGATGCAGGGAAAGGTGAAAGACTGGAAAATAACAAAAAGTTGACGTTTCCCTCACCGCTGGGCCTAACTCGGCGTCTTCTTACATTGGCGCAAATCGTCCAAGCCGTGGCAACAAGGTTTCCGCCGTAGAACGAGCGAGGAGCTCTAGGTCTGAGGAACGTGATGTCGTAAAGTCGCGAGTGTCGTAAACCAGGTGCGAAGCCGGGAGGCGCAGGAACTAGCTCGAACATTCCCACGGTTGCTGGAGGCGCAGACCTATGTCCTCGGGAGTCAGCGCAGAAAGCCTACGAGCACGCGGCGCAGTTAACAGTAACAGAGGGGACCTGGAGCAGGGACGGGCAAGTGGAACGGAGTGCTCTCTGCCCCCCTCCGCTGCCGCAGCTGCCGGACCCGCGCCGGGGCCGCTCCGCTCGCCCTGACTCTTTAAGTCTCTTCCCCGGTCTCTCTCCGGCTGCTGCCCCCCGGGACGGTTCGCCGCCGCCGCATCGCCGGCGCTGGGCGGGCAGCCGGTACGCGGCCGGCCAGTTTTCTGGTCTGGGTGGAGCGGCTGTTGCCTCTTTCCGCACATTTCCCCACTCTCTTGCCCCTCGGCGCCTCCTCCTCTCATCCCCCTCCGTGTTAGCCTCCCGTAGCGCGGAGGCCCCCGGGAGCCGGGGAAGTAACTTGTGCCCGGCGCGGACCCTGCAAAGTGCCTGCCGCGCGCCGCAGCCGGCGCGGTCGCTGTCGCTCGGCCCCGCGGCTTGGGCCGGCCCGGGCTGCGGGCGCGCGGTAGGTGTCGGCGGGCTGCGGGCTGCGTGTCGTCGGTGCGCGCGTGTGCGCGGGTCCCGGCTGAGAGCGCCGCGGGCAGGCTGGGCTGGGCCGCCGGCGAGTCGCGCCCGCGGAATAGGGGACGGTGGGACGGAGGCGCGGGAACTTCGGGGCCCGGCTGGCCAGTGCGAGGCGAGCCCCGGGA